ATCTGCACCATGAATAGCATCCACAATGGATTCCCGGCTTTCTTTAGCAGCATTCATCCCAATATCCGGGTTCCCACCAGCACCGAGTCCTCTCGTGAGCTCGTGGCCAATTTGCAACCGATGCTCAGAGACGACGGGTGACATCCTCATAGCTTGAATATCAGTATTAACAATCCAAAACTCCACACCCTTCATCGAGCTCTCGATCATCCTATTAACAGCATTCGACCCTCCCCCTCCAACTCCAACAACCTTAATCTTAGCCTCATTGTAATTGTTCAAACGGGACGAATCCTTAGAGCTCTCAGTAACGATCCCACTGGAACTCTCCTGCCTGGGAGTCATCACTGTGTTGCTCCCTTCACCTCTCAGCATCGAAATCTCAGGATGCAGGTTTAGAAATTGGTCTTTGCTATGATGCTGGTTAACACTGTGGGAATTTTGTGCGCACTTAATCATCGGAAAATTGGAACCGCCCTTTAAAGATCCATTCTTTTCGTCGGACATTTTCAAGGGGTTATTAGCTCTCCCTCCAAGAACAGTCAGCACCCCTCTCGGCCCCCGAGAATCGAGAGGCATAAAGTAAGCTGAAGCGCAAGTAGCCATAGCTGGGAAACAATTAATTCCACCTAATTACTCTGAAGAAACCAGAAAGAACGTAACCCTTCGATGATATCTCCAAAACCCAAAAGCTTCCCAAGATTTTCTTTCAGAGTTTCAGCTCCTGCATAATGAGAAGACAAAATAGGAGGCCCAGAAAGGAAAGTTCCTAGCTTTATGATACTTTCCAAGAAATATAAACAGAACAACACATAATTGCCCAGAAATGCAGAAGAACAATAAGAAAGAGGTGGAAAATGCAAACCTAGAGCGTGCGAGAAGAGGAGAAGAAGGAGATAGAAAATGGCACCTGAAATTTAGAGAGAGAAAGGGTGAGCGGTTTGAGTGTTGTGAGGAAGTAGGGAACAACGGCAGCAATCGTCGGAGCATTTACAGCACAGGAAAATTACAGGTGCTGAGGGAGAGAGAGAGAGTGGCGTTACTACTTTTATTTCTCTCATTTTTTTTAGACCGTACAATTTTAGCAAGTAATTTATTTATTTTTTTCAACTGCTTAGAAACAAACATTTTTAAGAGGAAAAATGGTGGTTTTTGGCATGTGGCACTAAAAAGTTTTTGTATAGAGAATTACCATCTTAATATAAGAATCATATTTTATTTATTTGATCAATCTTTTCAAAGTAGAAAATGACGTCTAAAAAACGATTCAATAGAAAATTATATATAATTAAAAATAACAATATTCATATTCGGGTAACATTTGTAGTATTTTTTGAAAATTAAAAAAATAACAATGCTAGTTTAGTCCAAATGGGTTGGCATGGGTCCAGTCGACATGGTTAAGTGGGTTGTGTCGTGCCATATAGTAAAATTAATCATCTAATTGTAGGTGTTGTAATTTTAGCTATCTAATTATTAACGTAGTAATTTATTAGAGATAGTTAATTATCGTAATCTTGTCTCATAACTTAAATTTTTAAAATTAAATTTATAAATTCAACTCACTTTTCTCCTTTCTTCCCATATTCCCCACCAATAAACAAGCTATTACGATAAAACACCTAAATTTCATCAAACCTATGACCTCACCCCAAATAACTTGAATGCATAATTTCTCCTCAATGTTTGAAGAGAATGAAAAGATTGATGTAAAATTAAAAAAAACTTAGCAAATGGATATTAGACTCATAATGAGTCAATGTCTCCACTGAGAGTTAAATTTATGACATTTTATTTATAAGAGTTACAATTATGTCATTCGACCACAAACTCATTGATAAAAGTTAAGAGTAAATATTCAAAATTGTCCATCGACTATAGCTAAATTCACAAATTGGTCCTCGACTTTTAATTTCAACCAATTAAGTCTTTAACTTTGCAATTTTAACACAATTTGGTCATTTGTCTATTTGACCGTTTGTTGACTCGCCTTTTTAGGATATATATGTAATTTCATTGTCCATCGTCGGTTTTTTAAGGTTCCGGTTGCATTTCTAGACCGCACTGTTACATTTGAATCCACTCTCAGCGCTGCACCCCATGCCGGCGAGATTATAGCTTTTGATAGATAGATCGGCGAAGTCCCTGGAGTGGCTCTTCGAGAAAGCCGTGACTCCAAGCGATGTAGGCAAGCTGAACCGGCTCGGGATTCCCAAGCAGCAAGCGGAGAAGCACTTCCCCCCTCCGAAACAGCGTTGTCACCTCCAAGAGCGTTCTCTAAGCTGAACCGGCTCGTGATCCCCAAGCAGCAAGCGGAGAAGCACTTCCCCCTCCGAAATAACGATCCCACCTCCAACAGCGTTCTCTTGAGCTTTGCACGTGAACTACATATATATCCTCAAAGGTCGCGGTCAACAAACGGTCAAATAGATGGAGGACCAAATCGTGTCGAAATTACAAAGTTAAGGACTTAATTGGTTAGAATTGAAAGTTGAGGATTAATTTGTGAATTTAACTATAGTTGAGGGATCATTTTGGTAAGTTAATAAGTTATTGATATTCTAAATGAGAATCCTCATTTGTCTGATTCATTGTCGTGTTATGAGACGAGACATTGGTGGGCGGTTTCACTTTTCGATGGGCATATACTCCATACACGTTGCTTTCAATTTGGTTCCCCAATTTGTTTCATTATCAATAGGCCCAAGAAGGATCCATGAACTCCCTATAACATCTCGACACTTCATAACACCATCTCTAATAAAGGATTTCATTTTGGTTTCAAGAATAGATGATTTTCTAGCTAGCTACATAATTAGAGTGTGTGTATATATATATATATATATGGCCTGGTTTATATACGACGGATTTTTTCGGTGCGGTTATGCGGCTTGATGCATTTATATATATTTAGTCGTGCATTCACTCAAAGAAAATTACAAAAATGTCATTTGATTATAAAGTGTTTGGTTAATTCTTGTATCATTATTAACCAAGTAGCAGAGCATATTGATATCCCAAAAAAGAATCCTCATTTGTCTGATTCATCATTGTCGTGTTTGGGACAAGACATTATTGGTGGGCGATTTCATTTTCGGATGGACATATATAGTCCATAAACGTTGCTTTAGGGAGGGCTGTCCTTTCAATTTGGTTCTCCCATTTTGTTTAACTATTAATAGGCCCAACAAATTAAAGATCCATGAACTCCCTATATTAACATTTTGACACTTCACAACACCATGGATAATGAAGGATTTCATTTTGGTTTCAAGAATATATGATTCTTCTAATGCCTAGCTAGCTAGCTAAAATCAAATATTATTGTAAATTTAATTTGACCTCGCGAATAGTTATCAACTAAATTGTGAGATTTAAAAGAAGTCTTCAAACTTAGATGACGAGCTAAGAAAAATCGGCATCTACTATTTGAGAGTGTGTAATGGGTAAATCTCACATTGTGGTCATAGTCGGCAAATTACCAATAGGAAGTTAATCAGTCTAGGTTACTCATATCTGATCATCTCAAACTAAGATGACCAATGTGCCGCTCCAGCTGAGAATCAAACTTGTAACCTTGTGGTTATCAAATCAATAGTTCGAGTAACTCGACACAATTTTGTGTTTCTTACCTTTAATTTGCCTGGTGGCATTAGCATTGAGTTTATCGAAGAAACTTATTAGGGCGCGACATATAATAAATAGTAGTCATGTGAGAAAGTGTGAACTAATCGCATTTGTCTAGTTATTTGAGATAATTAAGGGCCGAATGCATGATAAACAATAATGATGTTATTTTCTTTTTAAAATAACGACGAAAACGTGTAATTATTATTTAAAAATGTGCACTGAATAAATTCTGTCTGAGTGACAAAGATACAATTTGACAACGCATTTACCTTTCCAAACACAGAAGTAATCTTAATGATTACTATTATTTGGCTTGGTTTATCAAACAAGTTAAAAACTTTATTTTCCCTAGCTTATAATGTAATTAAAAAGAATGGGCCGACCATGCATGTTTGTCATCAATAATCATAATTCTCAACAACATGTGCGCCGGTCTATTATACCAAATAAATCATAACTTATAATTATTCGATCTTGTGGTCTGTTTAGTGACCTTCACCATCCACAATTTGGGAAAAGTAGTGTCTCAACCACTTGCCTAAAGGCTAAAGCTCACAAAGCTTTGGATATGAAGGTTTTGTAGCCTAGGCACATACTCGATCTTGGGGTTGGGGATCGGACTTGGGGAGGTGAAGATTTTGTAGCCTAGGCACATACAAGTGAATAATGAATACCACAATTCACACTCACACTTATCTTTTTTACTTTCTACTAATGCGACATATTTTAATTAATTCAGAAAATTAGGCCAATTTTTATTTATTTCTTTAAAATAAATCGATTCTTGTTAAGATCTTATTGGTCAAATTCGTCACACATTTTTTCTTAATGTGGTTTACCTCTGATTTCCTGCATAATTTCTAAGTTATTACACAAGATGAGGGTTTACCCAATGCATACTTTCGAGGAATATCACCCTAAAAAAACGTCATTTTTTCATCATCTAATAAAATCAGGATATGCCAGACTGGCCCGTACGGGCTTAGGGTTCAGTAAACAGTATTTGAGGGAAGAGACGAAAGCTCGAATCTTGACAACGGCAGTGTGGAGATTAAGCCCAAAGTAGGCCAGATCTCTTGAGTCGAACTTGGAAATTACAAAGGTTGGACATAAAATTTAATAGTGGTTTAATGTGATATGATGCCTAATAATCATTATCCATTAATAGTGATTGTTTAATGTATACAAAATTGCAACAAATGAGTTGTACCCCAACAAAAATCCTCAAGTAAAAAGACAAAAAAAGGTCATAATGAATCATCCTGCAATTTCGAAATCATGGTCCCATAGGGCAATTGAGTAATCTCATCTCCATTTCTCCTCTATAAAGACCCTTCCCTGCCATGTCGTGGTTGCATGCTCCGACAGAACCAAAAAAAAAAAAAATGTATCCAAAACATATTATTATTTTCTTCATTTTTAGCTTCTTCCTATGTTACTTTCAAGCTGCAGTGGCTTCCGATCCCGACACCCTCCAAGATTATTGCGTGCCCGACACCAAACATTATGGGACCTTACAAACGTCTAGGATCGACACCTTGCCATGCAAGAAACCGAAGGAAGTGACGCCGGAGGATTTCGTGTTTTCCGGCGCGGCGAAGTGCTCGGAGAATTTCTCCGACACAGGGCTCGCGGCCGTTTATGGGAACCCGACGGTGTTCCCGGGGCTGAACACGCTGGGGATGTCGTTGGTGCGCGCGGACTTGAAGGCCGGCGGCATAAACCCGCCGCACTACCACGGCAGGGCGACAGAAATAGCGTACGTGGTACGAGGGAGAGTGTATTCCGGGTTCGTGGACGGCGCGAATCGCGTGTTCGCGAAGGTGATCGAGGAAGGAGAGGTTATGGTGTTCCCGAGAGGGCTGGTGCATTTCCAGATGAACGTGGGGAAGACGACCGCCACGGTGTTTGGGTGTTTCAACAGCCAGAATCCCGGGGTTCAGAAGATTCCGGCGACGATGTTTGGTTCTGGGGTTAACGATGAGCTTCTGGAGAAGGCGTTTGGGTTGAGCATTGCCCAGATTTCCAAGATTAGGAAGAGGTTTTTCCCTAAGAAGCATGGTTAATTAAGTATGTAGATGGCTAGCTTTAATATCTTGAATTGGTTATATTTTTCAGCAACTTAATTTCTACTTATGTATCATGCATTCTGCTCCTTGCCAAGGACCTTCCTTGAATTGGTTTAGAGAATAATTTATCAAAGCATTTTTAAATTTGTTCTTCCATACCCACATTTTTTATTTCTTTCAAGCTCAATTTAAAAAGCTAGTGACATTCATATACAAAAATTATAATTCACCTACTTAATTATTCTTTTTGGATTGAGTTGATGGAGATTATTCCCGACCTTATCCCCTGACATACTTGATCGGTACCGGGTCCCTCTACCAAGTCAAGCCGGATCCACGGCTGACCTCTTTGCACAGTGACTCGACCCCGAGCTTAACTCGGGCATAGCATCGCTTCGACAAACCTTGATTTTCAGTACATCATCACGGGTCACACGAGACCGGGCCCAATCATCTAACCTGGAATACTTGCACCCCAAACCTAGCTCTTTCGGCCCGTGCCATGACCGCAGGTCCGAAGAAGTCAGGAACCACATGGCACATGGAGGGATTAGCCACGCCGCGGAGCCGTCCCTATGCATACGCTTCATGTGCCATCTATGTCGAAAGCCTGACATGTGTCCCTCGCGTTCCCTATAAATACCACATGCGGAAGGAACTTTTGACAATTTCTAAGTCTATACTTAAGCCGGGAACCTACTATCATGTAACCCGAACTTAAAGACTTAAACTAACAAGTAGATAATTAAGCACGTGATTTCTATACGATCCAACCTCCGTACCTTTATGGATCCGTAGTAATTAATCGCCGTATTTACTAGGGGTAATAATTAAGGAAGTGTTCTTGAACCATGCATAAGGTGTTAATTTAATACAATGACAAATTAAAGAATAAGGAAGGAGTGAGAAGCTAGTAATATAAAGTGTAGGATTTGGCCATCACATGGGACACCATATGAAAGTAAGGCCTGCAATTTCATCAATGTTATCTTGATTTGATTGAGACAGGCACCCATTTATTACTGAATGAAAGGCAAAACCATGAACTGGGTTCACTGAGTAATAACAATATATGTCTTCAAACTCCAACTGGGTTCATTGAGTGGGTCGGGGTTGCATGGGTACGAAGGTAATTTTGTAAAGAGTTAATTATCGAAATGGTCCATTGATTATAGCGAAATTATCAATTTGATCATTCACTGTTTTTTTTTTTGTATACAATTAAATCCTCAACTTTAAAAATCTTAACGATTTTGGTCATCTTTGTTTAGCCATCGGGCATATGATTGTTTAGCGGCTAAGTTGGAAAATTTAGTTTTTTTTTTTTTTTAAAAAGGCAAAATGGATTAAAGTTCATAACAAAACTTTAGTAGAATCTTTCTGCTACTATACATAAGAAGGATATATAAGTTGCCTAGAAAAACCTATGGCGACAATGGCCAATGGTTTGATGAGACCATCATAATTAAGAACAGTAAGAAGTTTGTTGTGTCGTGAGAAAACCTGAGTTGAGGTGTCAACAAGAAAGGAGAGGCATTCCTCTTCCTCTTTTAGGTTGGATGTTTCCACTAATATCGTAACATCTTGTCTAATGGTAATGGAATGGTACATGATGGGGTTATGGGTCCATTCTAATCATGGTTGAAAAAATCGTTACGCGCTCCTCGGCGCCTAGTAACTCAAAACGATGTCATTTTGAATGAAATAACTCATTTAAAAAAGAAGAGAAAAATAGCGAATCGGCCTACTAGGCGACCTAATCGATACCTAGGAGACCTAGGCAGTCAGCCGCCCAGACCACTGATTATGGTGATACGTTAGGTGGCTGACCAGCGCCTAGGCAGGATTTTTGCAACACTGATTCTAACTCGAGCCAAGAGTATACATTAATTGTTAAAAATTAATTGGGAGAAGAAAAAGGAAAAGTTAAAAATACCAAAAGAATAGTGTTGGTGTGGTGTGTTTGGAACAACTACTCATTTGTCATAATGAAAGGCAAGCAGAAGATTAAAGGAAACCCCCAAACATCAAATCCTCTGCATACACGCTGAAAGGAAATCATAATCCCATAACAAAATAATTTTCTTATAAGAATCTAATAATTCCTAGTTAGCTTTCTTTGGAAGAAATAAGGTTATGGTCCAACCTCAGACCTTAGCCGTGTTCGAGAAAACAGAGTTAATAGCGTTGCTTTGCTGATATATTCTGCAACTTTATCCACCGAGGCTCTAAGGTAGAGACAGGAGGAATGAATAAGGTTATGGTCCACCTCAGACCTTAACAGTGTTCGGGACAAAAGAGTTAATAGTCCTGCTTTACTGGTATATCCCGCAACCTTATCCACCATGGCTCTTGGACAGACCCACAGAGGCAGGTGGAGACTCTCGGGATTGGGATGTAATCCGTTTTTATATATATGAAATAAGAAACAAATATAAACCAGACAAGATTCTAAGATAGCAGGAATAAAAGATGAAAGAAACATATAAATGTCTATATCTCATTTCTGACTATATTATCATAACAAATCGAATTAATGTCTACAACACAGATCTATGCAAGAAAAGAACCGAATTTTCGAAGAAAGTAATAGGACAAAGTGGAACGGGCAATGCAAACCTAATGATCGCTTTCTCCAACGAAAAGCGCCTTCAGTATTTTGCCCGCCATTCCATCAGCGAAAGGAAACATGTGACCAGCGCCTGGGAGCTCGTGGTAATGAATCCATGGAAGCTGCTGAGCGATGTATCTTTGCAGAGTAATGGGCACAAGTCCATCCTCGTCTCCTTGCCACAGGTGAACCGAGCCTTCGTTGTTAGGGAATGGGTTCTTCAACTCCATCGGATCAAACTCCCAGCTCCCAAACCCAACCATCAAGTCCCGGTGGAGAGACTCAAATTCACCTTGTTGCCTTATCTGCGCCTAAATTTGCCAATGAAATAGACCATGGTTATATGCAATGTTGAAAAAATCACTAGGCGCCCTCTAGGCGCCTGGGGACCGCCTAGGGCGCCTAGGAGGCCGACCGCCTAGCGCCTAGGCGCGATTTTTGCAATACTGGTTATATGCTAAAACATAATCTGGGACGGGGACAATTTTAGTTGTCAAAAAGTGTGACAAGTTCTTACCATGTGCCCCTTTCCGAAGGAAACAACTTTAGGCAAAAGTTCTCTATCGTGTGAATTAAAAATGTCGAGCTTGTGAGCTGCAACGCTAGAAGCGGGAAAGTATTTTTGGGTATTCCACCAGTAAGCAAGCCACGGAGCATAGTGAACAACCCGAAGAGTCCATTGATCTTGGGGAAGTTGCTCGTAGTATGCTGCTTTCGACAAGTTTGCAGGAAAACTACGCCACCAGTAGTTGACAACTGGCGCTATAAGAGTTGCACCGGCCAACCTATGAGGGATATACTTGAGACAGGTCCAGACAACCTGCCCTCCCATCGAAAATCCAACAACATAGAATTTCGAACCTAGTCCCAACTGATCAGCAAGCTCCTCGATATCAAAGGCTATGCTCTTCTCAGTGCGTTTCGGGTTAGGATCACTCTCTCCATACCCAGGTCTATCAAAAGAAACAATGTAGATTCCCAAACTCTCGATAACATCCTGCAAAAAACAATTCATTGCAGCTATTAATGTAAAATATACTATGTTCTATTTGAAGAATCAAATCCCCTTTCCTCTCAAAACCATAAAAACGATATTAACCAAAACAAATAATGAATCATTACAGGAGCCAGTTTGCTGCCAATCACAACACTGTGCCTGCAAGAATCGAATCCATGGACAAACACTATCTTATACTTGGCTTTATCTTTGGGCACACCCTGCTCTTTGTAAGCCAAGTATCTTCCATCGCTAAGTTTGATTCTTGGTGCAGTTATAGGAGGCCCATCGGGCGATCCACAAATCTTGGGAGGAGGAGGCCTAGTTGCCTGGTAAGCCCATGCCAAAACTCCTATGAAGGATACAAGCAATATTTTCCCAAATAACCCTGAAATAATAATGAGATTCTGAGTGTAAGCTACACACTTGAAGCTAAGAGAACAATTCAAGAAGCAATCTGAAACCATGCTATGTGTGGGTGGGTGTGTGTGTATCTAAACAACAAATTCATAATTTGAATTATCAGAGGCCATTATATGAAGCTAAGCAAACGCCATTGATCAACTAAACCAAACATTTATAAATCTACTTAATTTCACCCTATTTCACCATTACATTTTCATGTTTCATGAAAATACCATCAACCCATTTCTTCAATTCTTCACCAGTGACAAAATTTTAGATCAAGATCGCAACTTTCCACCATTGCCTGATCAATCACCAAATCCCCACACCAACATATTTCAATCACACAGTCTCCCCACATAACATATTTGGAAAACAGTTGCAAAATTTTGACTTCAAACTCAAATAAAAAAAAAAAAAAAAAAAAAAAAAAAAAAAAAAACTAAAGCAAATGCAGGCCAATCAAGAACATCTTCGACAGAAACAAGAGCCAACAAATCGAAGCAAAACATTTAAAAAAACAAACAAACCTGAAAGAAGGGAACCCTTCTGCTTGGATTTTCGAGTGTGAGACCTGGCTGCAGCAGCTGAAACTTTCCTGGGCGCTCCTGCTGCCATTTTCCAAGTTCAAGAATTCACTCGAAAAACTCCTCAGAGATTCTACTTTCTAGTGCATACGTGTATGCCTGTGGAGAGAAACCGATCCGGGTCTCCCCCTCTGGACCCTATGAGGCTGTAAAAAGATGGAAAGGTGGGACCTTTCCGATGTGTCATGAAATTGGTACTAATTTGACCACTCTCATGTAAATTGCGACAGAGTGTTGCATATGCAATGATGCCCATGCGGAGAAATTTATGCAAAAAAAAAATGTCTTTATTAGTTTAATCACATGCTTTCTAATTAATTATTGTTTCTTGAAATCTTCAAACCTAAATAACTAATCTATCAATGATATAAGATAAATTTGTACTGACTCAGTAGACAGTATTTAGGAAAAGATATTAAGGTTTGAACTTCGGCAGCGATCGTGTAATATTATATTCAATGTGAACAGATCCCTTAATTATGTACAACATTTAGCCATGTTTGCTGAGTTATTGAGTCATTGTAATTTACCTCTTCCCAAATGCTCTACTGTCTTGAGATGTGAAGGCATTAGTCTTGGGATTGAGAATTTAACCTTTTGGGAGAAGACAGTTATGGTCGATTACCCAAAGTAATTGGACTTGACTTAGTGAGATAAGCCACAAAATAAATCCGTCTTTTAATTTATGGAATTAAAACATTTGTAGTGAATGTGCGTTATGAGAAAAACCTGTCTTTATGACCCTAGCCGACAAAGAACGGTAAGGATAGATGTATACTAGTCTAGATTGACTACAACTGACGAACTCAAACCAAGCAAGCTTATATATAGATAGCTCCTATAGGGAATCAAACTTGAAATTTTATAGTTACTAAGTCAATTGTCGACCAACTTCGTTGAAGTTTTTCCAAAAGAGTAATCGGTCTCATATGAGAGGTTGTCCGCCTGAACTCAACTTAAACTCATCTTAAAAGACGTGTATGTAAGGTGAACAAATAGTCAGTCGATTAAATAACCAACCAAAAAATTGAATAACTGATCAAAGTAAATAATCTAACCGATTAAAAAACTAAACATCGATTTTGATCAATTATGCTGGTTAAAAATAAATACAGAGTAAATAAATAAATAAACAATAACACACTACTCCAATAGAAAAATGCTCTTTTTTCTTTTAAACTTGTCCCTCATGATGTGACTTTCATTCATTATTGGGTGCCAATGAATTGACTGACCCCACAACTAATTAAAAAATAGATTTAGCTACATATAAAATGATGCCATATTAAAAGGGAAAGTTTGAGAAATATAACATTGCTCATTTCTATCAATTATCATACAATATTACAATTAACCAAAAATTTGCTCACCCTTAACCTAACTCATCTTGAGAATATTCAAATAGTGACTCATTTGGGAAGACTTAGTCCCTTGCGATTGTTACAAATATCTTTGGAGTAGGTGGTGGGTGTAGACGGTAGACCAAGATGATAATAAATATGATTAAATTAGAAATAAATAAATAAATATGATAGTTCTAACCATACAAATGGAGCAATCACACCTACCACCTTAAAGATGGGATTAAAAAGAATACAAATTTTAAAATAAATAAATGAAGTACCAAAGTCTGAGAAGCAGACGTTAAACGACATTTCTAACCAAAGTGGAAAAATTCATACCTACCAGGCTACCACCTTAAAATTGGGACAAATATAAATATATAATGCTTTTACGTTCTTCAACCCTACTGGAGTTGAATAAAATAAATAGAAATATTTACATAATATAATGTGAAAATGACTTATAAGTAGTTATAACTATCTTGAAATGGGTGGCTAAGTGGATAAACAAAATTCTCATACTTAAAAGTTAAAAATTATATTATTCACGTATTTGAATGTCATCCTCCTGGTCAAGACCGTCGTACATGATCTTCTTAATGCGATTTACTTCTCTTGTTATACATGAGCGCGCAGATGAACAATGAGATAATGAGTAGGTCTTGTGTGACACCGTCTCACTTGAGTTGTGTAAATTACATGTGTAATGCTTTTTATATAATTAAGTATAATACATTTTTATAAACATATAAAAAATATTATATTTTAATTGAAAAATATTACATGTGAACCGTCTTACACAAAACTTAATATAAGATAAATTAATAACTTGCTTAACTTAAGCAAAGTCATCATTTTCACACAACTTTGAAGAGTAAAACAATTGTAATTTTGACTTTCAAACTTGGTGTGCTATACACTTTTAGAACACAAAGGGGGGAAAATAAAATAAAAAGAAACTCAATCGAATAGAATTGGAACAGAACATTAATATTGGCAAATTATTCTATGGATCCGGGTCTAAATGTTCACAATTTACCTTTTAAAAATTCAAAATTTGTATACTACGAACACACAATGTTAGCATATATGTAATTAATTACCTTGTTTTGTATTCAGAAGTTCCTTTCAAATAATGCAATCACACACAATTTAACATATTAGGATTTGATAACTCTGTATTATATTCACAAATTCCCTTATACAGTTGTTATGTGTTTTGACTTAGAAACACAATTTATATTCTAGAAGTTCACAATTCCAATACTAAAAATACACAATTTATACGTCGTTTGGACCAGAGTCCATCTTGCAAGGTGGACCTGGTCCATGGTATAACAACTCGGGTTATCCCAACCATTATTACATGGACCATAAATAAAAAGTACATTTTAATATACTAAGGGTACATTATTTATGTACGTAAGGTACATTTTTTAAAAGTACATCTTTAATATACTAACTACATTTTTAAAAGTACATTTTTAATATTCAGTACAAAAATAATAATATATTAAAAATATACTTGATATTCATGGTCCACACAATAATTTGTTGGGTTATCCGGCTTGGGCCATTTCATATAATGGGCTTTAAATGTTCTGCTCAATGCTTGGCCTAATAAGAAGTTTTGCTTCATTTTTTTTTCTTTAAAAGGGAAAACTGAAAAGGCTTACTAAGGAGTACTGTGCAAATTTTGAAGCTTTTTCCTCTCCCCCCCCCCCCCCCCTCCCACCCCCAAAATTTTTCAAAATGATATTAGCTTTTATTTTTATAGATATAGAACAAGGAAGCAAAGGGGTACAAGTTACAAGACTGTACAGACTACACTACAGCTTTATATAATTAACTGAAATATTGTTTTCACAAATTAATTAAAAGAAAAAATAATTCTTTAATGTGGAGCAATGAGAATATAATATCCGGCCTTTTCGAAATGCTAGCTGGTGTTTTGATATAGTTCAATATAAAAATGGGTACATAATTAATAGTCTTATTAGGCAAATTATGAAGTTCGAGTCAGCATCGTGCTTACATTATATCACATTTCACGATATAATGTATCAAAACATAAACTCTCTCATAAATTTACAACTAATAGTACGTTATGATATTAAAACAAAAAAAAAAAAAAACAAAAACAAAAACAAAAACAAAAACAAAGACGACTGATATTGTACTTAACTTGTACAACCAGTATTCTCCAATTTCATAACTATATGTGGTATTATATTTTCTTAATTATGAAATTGTCATTTTTTTTTTTGTTATATCACACATCTTGATGGATAATGGAGGCAACCTGCATCTTTCTAAAGTACTTAAATTAAAAATAATAATAATATATACATATTTTTGAAAAGCAAACAATGTGTGTTGTGATCTGGCTCATCAGATCATCAGTAGTGGGATATGCAACACAGCAACAGTACTTTGGTTTCTACTTATGGTAATCCCACATTCTCAGCCTTGCCAAAAACAGGATTTATGGGAAAACCTAAGATTCTTGCTTTTCTTGAAATTTGAGATGACTTCTCAACACAAAGTATAATATTGTTTTAAACAAAAGATTATTGCACAAAATTCATTAATTTTCTTGCCCACAAACGTGAAATCTCTCGCCTCAAAGATCCTCACATATGCCTTAGCCCCGCAGGATAGAGTGAAGGGTAAATTATGGTGACTCAGTGGCCTGTTAGGTATAAGGATCAGTACAGGCCTAATACCCACAATGAATCCACCACATACTTTGAGTGTAACTCTCACACTGCGACTGCCAGGTATTGATAATTCATTAATTTTCTATGTGAATGTGTGGTGGAGTTGCCTTTATACTCTGACCACTGTGTTGTGTGTCCTGGGAATCTATGATTTCAAACAAAGGCTCCTAATTGTATATCTTAGAATTGCCATTAATGTTAAAAAGCATGAGATTCTCTTGTCTATCTTAGGATGATTATCCTTAATGACAAAGCATGAGATTCTCCTCAGCAGTAATGCAAATATGGAATGTTCAAGCAGAAACCCTAACACTGCAGCCACCTTGTATATTTCGATATATACAATACATACACACATACAACTTGCTTAGCTGGACCCACATGCCCAAAAAAGATATTAATTTGTTACTTGACAGCTTGCTGGACGAAGTATTGAATCCAAAATGCTACCATCTGATGATTGCTATATAAGTATAAAGAAATAAAGTTAAGTCTTCGCTACCAGTTATGTATAACTTTTGGCGTAGTGATAAACATTTGATCATGAAAAAATTCAAGAAATCCATATAGCATGCCTTAGGTTATAGAGAAAGAGGCAAACCCTTGGTACTCTTGCCCTTCACTTGGAAGTAATGATTTTAAGTATGTAGTTGATAGGGGAATGGTACGTATAAGATATCGACACGTCACATGAAATTTTAATCCTTTGGTACAGCAAAAAGAAACTTCACCTGATTTTTTTAGTACAAACGATCATATCATGATAATTGTACGATCTTGATAAAAAGATTAAAACATGCACCTTAAAACATGCACCTTGTCCACATTCTACATACTATATTGTCTTTTCACACACAAACATGCCCATGCCAGAATATGATGGTTACTATATATATGAGAACAAGAAGCCCCTCAAAATCCTAAGTTGTCTTAGAAGCTCATCATCATATAGCTCTCTCACATATACATACATTCTCTCTCTCTCTCTCTCTCTCTCTCTCTCTCTCTCTCTCTCTCTCTCTCTCTCTCTCTTTCTCTCTCTCTGGTAACATTAGACATGGCAGGAAGAAGCTTGGAGCCTCTGATACTGGGTAGGGTTATAGGGGATGTTGTGGATGCCTTCACTCCCACAGTGACAATGGAAGTAACATACAACACCAACACCAACAAGAGAGTCTGCAATGGACATGAGTTTTTCCCCTCTGCTGTCAACTCTAGACCTAGGGTTGCCATAAATGGTGCTGATTTGAGAACTTTCTTCACTTTGGTAATCACAATCTTCAATTTAATTCACTCTTTTTCTTTCTTTCTTCTAAAAAAATTTCCAAGAATTAATGTTTATATTGTTGCAGGTGATGACTGACCCTGATGTTCCTGGCCCTAGTGATCCTTACCTGAGAGAGCATCTCCATTGGTATGCCTTTAACTAGTGTTGCAAAAATTGCGCTTAGGCGCAGATTAGGTGCTAGGCGGTCGGCCTCCTAGGCGCCCTAGGCGGTCCCCAGGAGCCTAGAGGACGCCTAGCGATTTTTTCAACATTTCCTTTAACAACCATTCATTTAGGGATCCTGGTGATCGAGGTTGTTGGCTTTGTAACCACAGGGTTATAAGTTCGACGACTTCCAATAAAAGTAATCAATTGACTTTCTTGGTTTGAGTAATTGAGTCAGTTAGCTATGGTAAGCCTAGGTTGGTTTACTTTTTTGTGGTCTTTTGTGGGCTAGGGTTACGTTAATTACAAGATGGGATGACTTAAATCATAAGATGAGATTTACCCAGTGCACACCCTCGGGTAGTGGTTGCGGGTTTCCCCGGTCACTCAAAAACAATTAAAAACAAAAAATATAAATAGAACATAATATGGTAGCACCCAACATTTTCTTTAAAGAAAAAAAAATGTTTTTATGAATTTAACATAGAATTGAATTTACAGGCTAGTAACTGATATTCCAGGCACCACAGATGCTACTTTTGGTAAGTTGTGATGAACCATTATAGTCTTCATTTGACAAGATTTTATAATGATCTGAAATTAATTTCTGACCATAACATACTAATTTAATTATTTTCTTGAATAATGCAAGGCCGAGAAGTGGTTACCTACGAAATTCCGAAGCCAAACATAGGAATCCATAGGTTTGTGTTTGTTCTGTTCCGACAAACACGGAGGCTGTCTGTCAGCTCCCCGTCCGCCGCCGCTTCCAGGGATCACTTCAACACCCGCCTCTTCGCCGCCGAGAACGGCCTCGGGTCGCCGGTGGCCTGCGTCTTCTTCAACGCCCAACGGGAAACCGCCGCAAGACGTCGCTAACCAGCTACCCTACCCCCCTCCACCCCCCCCCCCCCCCCAAAAAAAAAAAAAGAAAGAGAATCTTTCACATATTGCAAGTGTACTGTTTCCATTAAAAGCTAATGAAGCTCTTTGAATGCGATTGCTGCATAATTAGAATCTTTGGTCTGAGTTTCTGAACTGTGCAAGCTAGGAGGGTTGATAGATCAGATTTAAGTTGCTTTTGTGGGTGGGTAGTCAAGAAGGGAATGATGAAGTACACGTGGCGGGAACCCATTGCTGGATGGGGGGCTGTTAGGGTTTATTGTTTATTTTTGGGGTCTTCAATTATGCATATATGGGTGATTGAGTTGATAAACATCATGCCCATAACAACCTAGATTGCCATGCTACTTTTGATGAGTTGTCTGTGTTTTTTCTGCAAAATAATTGCAGCACAAATATTCCTAGCTATCTAGCTAGTTTGTGTGACAATATATAACTAAAGAATGAACAACATACTATGTATCTACCTGCCTTTAGCTTAGGCTCGTTAGAAACTGGTAGGTATGGTACTTTCACTTCCATGTTTCCTATTTGTGGATTGCTTGAGGAAACACTATTTTGCTCACATGTCATGTTTATCAATTAATGTTATATGACTTATATCCAATACCACAAGACATTGAACCGCGGATCCGTTGAGCCCACCATCTTTAATTAAACTTTGATATACTGGAAATTAAGCTAGCAGTCGTTACTCGAATGTGGACTTTAGGTGAAGTTCATTTTGTATGTGATCCTAGTCAGCAAAGGATCTGTGGTAAACCAACCTAGGTTGCTCAAACTGAAATGATCTATACGTAACGTAACTCTTACAAGGAGTCAAACTTAATTGGAACCTTGTGGTTATCAAGTCAATTGTATGTCTGACCAACATAAACTAAACATATATAAAACAAAACAAGATGAGTAATAGGAAAGTTTATGGTGCATACTGAATTACTGATGATCAACACCGTACCAGTGTTTCTTGTATTAGGTACAGTAAAAAATGCATGCATATTTGTATCGGACACTATAAAAATAAATGCACCTAAAGTACATTAAACAAGCTAAGCCCAAATTCTTTTTGCGTTATACTTGGTGCACGAGACACCTTAGAATTTCTCGGTGAATACTAGATATATTCTAAGTTATTAATACTTCATTCTTCTCATTATTTATACCCAAAAAAAAAAAAAGGAAAATAAATTAAAGAAGAAATATTGTGTGATGTGAGCCCCAAAAAAGGGAAATATGAGCCTAAATAAATAACACACAAGAAGAATAATAAAGCTCACATGTTATGTTTATGAACTTTATTCAATAACACACAAATATAGACCTGTGGACCAGTTGAGTCAACAATCTTTAATTGAACTAGGCATTTATGAAATTGAATCTATGAAATGATCAGTAGTAGACTTAGTAGGTATGAAAGACTCCATTTCTATATTCTAAGTTTTTTTTTTTTTTTTTTTTGAAAACTTCTATATTATATTCTATATTCTAAGTTAAATCCCCATTCTTCTCATTATTAGTACCAAAATATAATAATAATAATAATAATAATAATAATAATAATAATAATAATGGTAGTAGTAATTAATAATAATAATAAAGAAAATAAATGTAACTAGCAATCACTATCAAGGACATGCACAATCTGCAAGCCACACAGAAGAAGTAAATCACACCAAGAAGACTTTGGAGGTGTTTGACAAATGGTTGATAGCTGATAACTGATTGGATTAGCTGGTTTGACCGGTTGATAGCATTAACTAGTTGTAAAAAAAATGTTTGATAAATAAGATGTTTACTTTTAGCTGATTGGATGTAAAATGACCTATAAGGACATAAACATATTGTGCTAATTTATTACGGAGTAACTCTTAAATTACTTTTACAATTTTTATTTATTTATTTATTTATTTATTATTATTATTATTATTATTATTATTATAGATTACAAGGATGAGTGAAATCAAAAACAAAGAAAAACATTATTATAATAGAAAGAAAAAAGGGCAAAACAGATTAACAACAACAAGAGAAATATAAATTTTAGGGATGACAAAAATAAAATGGTCATTTCACAATTAAGGCTAATCAGCTAACTAAAAACTCTATTCTTCATAGCTTTTTAAATTTTAGCTTATTGCTCCAATAAGCTAATGCAATAAACCATTTTACCAAACACTTAAATAGCCAATTGACCAATCAAACCATCCAAAATTAGCTTATCAGCTATGGTACCGTACCAAACAAACACCCCCTTTATGTGACAAGTTTGATCGGAATGATGCTAGCAAGAATCGGACTCATAACCTTATGGTCCGAAAATAATACTCCAAGCACTCAACCACTCATTTCGTGTTAGAGCTTGGTCTCCTAAAAGGAACCTGAGAACCAGAAAACAATATAATGGAATGCTTGATCACAAACTTCAGGTGTGTGAAGGCACACTATCCTAAGAGTTTCTAGGTAAACAAATTAGAACTTTTAAGATACAAGAAAAATGTCAAACTTTTTAAGTTGCTTTTCTAAAAAGTTCACTAAAATAATAACTTGAAATTTTTGTCTAGGAAAAAACACTATCTCTAAGTAATGCAGTTACTTAGTCCAGAGAAAAATATACTTACAGCTATGTAACGTATCTTGACAAATGATGGAAGAATATTTTATATCCATCGTTAGACATCCTTCTTCAATTCTCTTAAATACCAATTAAGAAAGTTATTAGAAGTTTTTGTAACTTCCATAAAAACTATTGTGTAACTATTCAAGAATTTATTATATTAATAAATATAATAATATTTACAACTTTTTGAACATATTACGATGTCCCATTACTGATCAAGAAAATTTTCAATAAATCTTCTACAGTAAACTCACGAGTAGTAAACTTAGGAAGATTAAACTCAAGAGAAGTAAACTCAAGGGAAGTAAACTTTCAAAGAGTAAACTCAAGAGAAGTAAACTCACGAAGAGTAAATTCTCGAAGAGTAAACTCAAGAGGAGTAACTCTCGAAAAGTAAAACCCAAGAGAAGTAACCCCAACTTCTCTAAATAATTTCTCTTTAACTTCTCTAAACAATCCAACTTCTCTAAAACAACATGAAAAGTTTTCAACATTCTTGATCAATCAAATCATAAATTTCCTATCAAACATAAATAATATTTTCAACTCCATACCGTCAAAATATTATTTATATATATTTTCAGTAGACATGTCTGAATAAATATATTCAACTATTTACTATATAAATAGTTAATATTTCAGAGTTATAACTTATTAGTTTGGACTATGGAGTAATGGTGAAGCAAATTACTATTAAAAATTTGTAAGGTTAATTAAGGATTCGAATATGAATTAACCTCACAAAAATGAAAATATAGAATGCCTTAAGAAAAATAACTGCCAAAATGAATTGATTTTCCATTTTGAAAAGAAATTAGAGTATGTCAATCAAATCCTGTTGCAATATGGACAAAATTTGAAAAGAAACAAAACCATTCTTGGCTTTTTTGAAAATGGAATTATGCCAAATATGACTAATGTTTTTTTAATTATATCAATTGCCAGAGATTGCAAAACTTGCTTAGCTGCCCAGGCGGCCTACCTCGTCACCTATTGAGGTAGGATGGGATCATGCATCATAGGATGAGAATCATTATTGTATGGAACATATATTATCAAATAATGTACCTTCAGTACATAAATAATATATTTTTAGTATATTAAAATTAATATTATATTCAGAAAAAGTATATTATTTAAGTACTGAAAATATAATATTTTATATAATATGCATTTAGCAAGCAAATGATATATTTTTAGTATTAAAATTTATTTTTTGTACATTAATTTTGTACTGAATGTACATTATATTATATTGTATAATGTACATTCAGTACAAAAATAATATATATTTAGTATATTAAAAATGTACTTTTTATTATATATGATGCACATAACATCATGTAGACAATAATTTGCCTCCATTAAATCATTGGGCCAAAAGAAGCTTAATCTATCCACTGAATTTGGGCAAATTTTTTCTGCGGACCCATGATCCATGCATGTAACATCATGGATCATAAAACAAAATGATGTTGTATCATTTCATCATTTTACTTACATTTCAAATCAGTTTTATTTGACAGTATTACTCTATTTTTTAGTTTCGCTTTCTACGCTCACTAGTTTGATTATAGCAATACTAAAGCATTATTTTAATTTCACTACATTTTCATTTAACAATATACGTTATTGCATGAGCTTTATTATTATTTTTTTTCATTTTCCACACACTAGTTTAATTATAGTAACGTTTAAGTATAATTTTAAATACACTTCATTTTATTTGAAAATATATGTTATTATATGAGTTCTGGTTCTTTGTTTCATTTTCTACACACACAAGTATCATTATAGCAACACTAAAGTATCATTTTAATTCTATTACAGTTTTATTTGACATTATACGTTATTGTATAAGCTTTGTTTTTTAGTTTTATTTTCACACACACTAGTTTCATTTTAGCAACACTTAAAGTATTACTTTAACACCAGGACTATGTGGTCTAATGGTATTCGGGTTGGACTTCCATTTGGAAGGTTGTAAGTTCGAGCCTCAGTGGAGGCGTTATTAGCTCTCTGTGTTTCAGTAGGTTGAGAAAGTATATGAACAGATACTACAATGTAATAGAGCTAGTAGCATTCAAAAAAAAAAAAAAAGTATTACTTTAACTCTACTACAGTTTTATTTGACAATCATATTGAATCATGGTTCACATAGCATTGTGTGGACCATGATCGACTGTATAGATGAATTTGGTGAACCATCCTTAATTGGGTTTGGTTAAGGTTGATGTTGAGTTAAGGTATGTGGTTATTTTGTAATGAAGCACAGCTTCCAATTTCTAACTAATAAAACCATTGAGGTAATTAATCTCGGACAAAATCCTTAGGTGGCCATCTAATGAAAATATGTAACAATGTTTACTTAGTTAAAAGGATTTGAGTGCTTTGCCATCGAATATATGTATACGACTTGATAAAAACTCAATAATAATTATTATTATTATTATTATTATTATTATTATTATTATTATTATTATTATTATTATTATTTTTAAAGTTCTTTATGCAATTTTACTTCTTTGTTCTTTGTTTTTTGTTTTTTTGTTTTTGTTTTGTTTTGTTTTGTTTTGTTTTTTTTTTGTTTTTTTGTTTTTTTGTTTTTTTTTTTTTTTTTTGGTTTTATTAGGGATATCCTAACATGAAATTTAAAATAAAATATAAATATAATATGGAAAATAACATACATAAGCCCATTTTATGGGGAAATGGTAAGTATGATAGTCACGATTATTTTTTGTTAGTACAAAGTCAAATTGTACGATATTGTTAGGGTGTTTAATTTGTACATGTATATAGTAAAAAACTCTAGTTGATAGCGCATTCGAGAGATTGTCTTTAAATCCTTGGATGAAGATGTCTAATGTTGCGTCCTTGATCATGAAGCTTTTATAGGAGAAGATAGCTAGGGTGTCTTTATAGTAAAATAATGACCCTTAATTGTAGGGTAATGGTCCTTATATGGTGAATAATGGAGATTCATGTCATCATTTAGCCTCTAGGAGGAGGATTGTTGGGCGTCGGTCGAGTACAGCCCTTACTCGATTTGAGATATGGTTAGTTTTAAGAAGAATTTAGCAATCAGATAATTAAAAGAACTCCATTGTTAAGTGTACTTAACTTATTACTTAATGAAAAGTAAGCATAGTGCGATACTAAGATACAATATAGTGTCATTGGGCTAATACCATCAACGTTAGCACTTAGCATACACATTTCCCTCTCCAATCACCAATTTAATGCCCATGGCCCCTCTTATTATTATTTTTTTAAAAATATTGTATGAACTCTTTATTAACTTGTGATAGATGAGTCTATCAATGCTTGGCCTCATGCATGGTACCAAATGAAAATACAAAATTTCCCTTTTTAAAAAAAACTACTTATAAATAATGCAGTATCATGAATAAATATAGGATAGTGAATAGTGATTATAATAAAGAAAAATAGTATCAATATCGACTCAATTCATAAATTATTATATGTATTAAATTTTCTCTTTTAATAATGTTGAAAGTTACATTTTAGTCTATTACTTGTAGATTTTGTTATCACTAATAATTTATTTTGAATTTCTAAATTAATAAAGAATATATTTATCATTTCGCAAAATTTTCTTAAATTCCCTTCATAAAATAATCTTCATATATAAACCACTATATCCTTAATGCTTTTTCTTTGCATTTAAGATACATTTGTAAACTTGAAAAATGATGACTTCCAAAAATTACTTTATAAAATTTTTTCATGTTTGATTATCTAAGAAAATGTAGTTATAAGTTAATGAAAGATGTCATTCTGGTCAAAGAAAAAAGACACATGAAAACCAAAATATCTTTTAAAATTTACACAAAACATATTTTTTTTACCCCTGTTTACACAATTCTTTCTTATCCCAAACTAGGGAATGTTAGATTACTGGGAATGTTAGATTTATATGTTTGGTTAAAATTGAGGTATGTAATATAATCATGTTTGGTTTAGGATTTTATATATATATATATATATATATATATATATATATATATATATATATATATATATATATATATATATAAAAGCTAAAATAATAATAATAAGCTAACATAAAATATATATATTAAATAATTAGAATTAAAATGACAAAATTTATAAATATCTTACATTGCCTAATAAAATGAAGAAAATCACATTCCCTTCAAAATTCTATGTGGAGAAATGTTGCATTCTCTGAGAATGTTATATTCCCTCGGAGAATATGAACCAAACATAGAAATGTAAGCTCGAAAATGTCACATTTCTTTGATTATATAATATAACTTGAACCAAATGCCTCCTCAATTCTTTCTATCTTTATGGATAGTGTTAAATGACAGGCTTCGGCCAAATTACCATTTACCCAGTTATTATATATTTATATATACTGAACTGGGTTAGGCCAATTAAAATTCAATAATTAATATTGAAATTAAGCAAGAAAGAAGCTAATCCCTCTATCCTCATAATTTCACGACTGCAATATGCATGAAAGGACAACATAAATTTTGAAGTGAGAAATGATGTTTGACAGTGTGAGATACAGTTTCTGAAGTCCAAGATTCTCTCGTCAACCAATGCAGACCAACTTCTGAACCAAAATCGAAAAATTATAGAATTACTCAAATTAATGACCATTTTTTATCTCTCGACTAAATCATAATTATTAAATTAGTTATCGAATATTAATTTTGACAAATTAAATCACCAACTATTAGTTTTGTAATTGATTTGGTCATCTGTAATCACCAAAACAAATTCGTTATGCCGCCATTTCAGAGAACTGCAAAATTGAAGCGATTATAAAAGTAGTGTGATTGGAAAAATTGAATCACTCATTCAGAATCCTTAAAACTTTTACAATTGGAGTAGTGAATAACTAAGAAATTCGTATCCTCTAGTTTTTTCAGGTAACGAGAGACATCAGCAATCAATATTTGATGATGTATTTATATAAATTTCGTAATTATATAATACTCTCTATCTTACATACGACAGACTTAACCAAGAAAATGTTAGTCCATAACTTTAAATTTTACTATTTTAATCATGTCTATATCCAAATTCTTTTAATTGTCTCACTTTACAACTTTTTTTTTCTTAAATAAGAAATGCTTAGGGCCTATGGCCCTATACTATCCACAAAACCAACAATTTTAGGTTTAAATTATATGGGCCTGATTAAGACCACGGGCCTAAACACCCCCAAATCCCTATTGTTTTCTTCGATGACGCCTTGATGATTTCATCCACCCGTCACGGCCCCTCTGTTTCCGTTGACCGTAACGTTTCCTCGTACTCTGTTTTCTTGTCGGACAACGTTTTAGCGCAACGATACATAAAAACGGTTTTTGGGTTAGTGAAAACTCGCCGCCAATACTTGAGGTGTGAACCCATTTATGGATAATTCAAGAAAACTTAAAAGATTGTTCAATCTTGAGAGATGAAGGATAATATAGTACAGTGATATATATTTCTTTCTAGCTGAGAGATTGACAGAATTGAAGAGCATGAGACTCCAAAAACAGGGAACAAGAACAGAAGAACATCATAAACTACATATATATATATATTGTCCTAACATGGATCAAAAAACTGCCAGACCAATAATAATAATAACCATAAAAACTACCTTTTTGTTTTGGTTGGTTTGATTCCTTCCTATACCTCCTAAAGAACTTCCCCAGAAGATCAGAATCAGAAAATAAAAAGCCAATTGATGATGATCCTAAACAGCTAGTTGGTTTCTGGGGAAATTTGGTGTTTTTTCACTTTCACTTCTTGCTGGATTTGGACTTGGAAGAAGCTGCAGAATTACTGGAGTTTTTCCCTCTGGGATTGCTGCTGTTTCCACCTCCATTGTTGCCCTGTGAAAGCCTGTGCTTCAGCTCATTCAACAGTTCTTGATTTTCTTGGTTCAGAAGCTCAGCTTTCTTCCTCAGCCTCTCATTTTCTGCCATGATATAGCAGTTCTCCAGGTACAGCTTCGAGTTTAGCCTGTCCATTTTCCCTGCAAATGCAATGGCTCTGGTCATTCAAAATGAATTCTTGAAAATGGAAGAAGAAGAAGAAAAGAACTCTGCAATTATATTGAGATGGGGAAAGAAAGCAATTAGGGTTGCAAAAATATCCGTATAGACAGCTCAGTTGGTTCGTGATTTTTAAGTGGCAGATTGCGGACAACTCAGTTAGTTCGTGGTTTTTGAGTGGCAGATTGTGGGCCCAAATAGCTAGAATGCCCAGATCTGCAATCATTTAAAATTGGCTCTTTTTCCTTGTCCTTGACAGGAAGACAAGAATCAAGTGTATAGCAAGACAAACAGCTCATTAATATAAAAGACAATGAACAATCTAGGATTAAGATTTGTTGTTTGTGTTGCTGCTAAGAATGAGATCCATTATCCCAATATTCTTCAGTATGTTGTGGGAGGATCCCAAAAGTGAAAGACACACACTGAGTTACAAAGCCATGAAAAAAAGATAAAGTTCTCATCTTTATTGATTTTCAAGGAAAAAAAAAAACAAACAGAAAACAATGGTGCAGTGCAGAAGAAGGGAGAAGGGACAGAGAGACAGGAAGTGAAGTTTGGTATGGGCAACAAACAACAGGAATAACAGCAAGATGAACAAATGACTTTTTTTTTTTTTTTTATCTCTCAGGTTTACACAAAAACATATAGCCCATGAAGAAGTCCACTGTCTGGGCTTGTTGGTGAAGCAAAACAGAAAATTAAAAAAACCAGAAAAGACAGAAACAAAATAGGGTGGGGGTGGGGCCACTTGCTTCTCCCCTTTAGCTTTTCAAAAAAGATCACCTTTAGAAGAAGAAGGAGAATCTTCACCTTTGGAAGCTTTGGAATATGTAAGTATGGAAGGATTTCTTCTTCTTCTCCTTCTTTCTGCTTCTTCTTTTTCTGTTGACAGTAAAAAGGGAGAAGTTGGAGGGTTCAGAGGTGAAGTGAGGAAAATCAATGGGAAGGTCAATATATATATATAGCTGCAAAAGTAGGGGAGAGTGAATCTTTGGAAAGGTAGTATAGTAGTAGACAAATGGGTTGTTAATTGGGGTTTGGGGTGGGGGGGGGGGGGGGGGGGGGGGGGGGTAGGGGAGATGGAACAATGTAAAATGGGGTTCTCTTTCATTGTATTTCACTGCCACAACAATCATGCATGTGTAAGCATGGAAGGCGGCTCGTATAGGCAAGGATTTAATGTTCCATTCTATACACTTCCCCTTCTATACGTACCATCATGATTGTAAGGATAGGTGGCACAACAACTAGTTGGAAGTTGTGGCATAGATAAAGAGAGATTTAAATGTCAATTCAATCATGTCCCGGTGAATAAAATATTTAGAATACAGCGTGCGACAGATCATTCAGTCCTTGAAAGATTGTCATACGACATATGCAACTTATTTCGGGTATCAAGAGAAATCTGCCTCCACTACTGAAGGGCGTGAATTGCGTAAATCATGCTCTCATGTAATAACATGTAAACCACACAAGATAAGGTGAATTGAACTAAAGAAAATCATGTACAATGAATTTAACCAAGAAATTGTTTGCAATAAACAGCCCATCTTTATTCTAAAAGGGTTTATACCCGAACCTTGAGTCTTTACCTGCCCTTATTTCATACCATTGAAAGAGAATTGAAGTATCAATATGACAATTCTGTATTACTATATACAAAATTGATCTTTCATTAAACAAAAGAGGCTCACAAGGATGAGTTGGTCAGGAGAAAATGTGGTAAAAGTGAGACCTTAATTACTAAGTTTTAGGGTGGCAATGTGGCATGATGCATGTGAATGAGTATGATGGGGGTGAATGATGGTGGGGGGTGTGGGGGGTATGAGGGGCATTCTTGGGATTTCAAGTGAGGGGGATATGATGGCGGAGCTCGGCCGTCCGAAGATTCGCAATGATGGTTTGGATTGGTTCGAACCGACGGAGGCCATCATCACCACCACAGAGCGACGCCACCCCCACCATCGATTCTCTTTTGTTTGGTTTTGAGTTTACATCCAAAAAAAACAAAAATCTTTCCATTCCCACTCACTTCAATTTGGCTTTCTTCTATGCAATGCCATTTTTTTTTTTTTTCCCAATCTTGATTCAATCAGTCCAATCTTGTTTGATGCAAATTGTTTCGTACTTATGTACCCACTACTCTTGTGATGACTAAAAGGGCATAATTGGAATCCTAATACCTTGATTAAGGCGAACAGTTTCCTCACGCCAACAGTAAAACTTTCAATGTCGCCTACATTCATATAACACATAAAACATGACTTCAACTTATTGTAACTTAATTACAGAAAAAAATATAAAATAAATGTCAACTCGAGAATTGTTGTCGAGTATCTATTATTATCATGCATTTAGCATTACAAATGGAATCAAATAATGAGGGTTAGTACAAACCCATTATTTTTAACCTATAGTTATTATACAATCTATGATGGGCATTAGTTTTACCTTATATTAATAATATAAAAATAATCATAATTATTTTGCCTGGTATCATAAGATGAGCATTTATTTTTCTACCATATAAAATTTATGAAATAATGAGGCATAAGGTAAGGATGAGTTGGGGCAAGCGCATGGGATATGAGTACATTAACGTGAAACATATATGATTTCATAGCTTTTGCCAGATGCGTTTTTATGGGTAGAAACACAACCTATGCAAATTAAACATTAATCTTAACTAGGCCTAGGTTAATTAATTAAGCTACCCTCGTGTATTTCGTTCATGTACATACTACTCCATATCTCATTACTTATGACTTCATTTTCAGCTACCATAAATACCTTTGCAATCTATACAACTTCCAATATATATATTAAGTTCATGTACCCATTTTGCCTTGGTTCTCTCTGTCACCGATAAAAAATGATTTTGCGTTGATTTTTTATAAATGTCAAATTTTTAACTAATAGCTAATGACAATTACTACTGTTGCTAGTAGCACATCGTTGTAGAATTTCAACCAAGTTAGTCGAACAGTTAACTTGGTAACAACATGTTTCCGAAATTCCAAGAATACACTACAAGAAAAATGCACATAGACAACACTAGAAAGACAACAGTTTTTAAGAAAAGTGTTGTCTTTTGTATCAAAGACAACAGTTTGGTCCAAAACCGTTGTCTTTTATGCAACACTTTTGTCAAAGACAACAGTTTTTACTTAACCGTTGTTATAAGTGTGTAGTCTTTGTGCATTTTGTGATAAGACAACACCACAACGACAACGGTTTTTTAAAACCGTTGTCTATGTGCGTTTTTTTTTTTAAAAGACAACGGTTTTTTTAACCGTTGTCGTTGGTGTGTTGTCTTTAAGCGCACTAGAATACACAACACTAGAAAGACAACGGTTGTTTAAAACCGTTGTCTTTGTGCGCTCTTTTTTATAAAAAGACAACGGTTTTATTTAACCGTTGTCGTTGATGTGTTGTCTTTAAGCGCACTAGAATACACAACACTACAAAGACAACGGTTTTTTAAAACCGTTGTCTTTGTGCATTATTATTTTATAAAAGACAACGGTTTTATTTAACCGTTGTCATTTATGTGTTGTCTTTAATAGCACTTGAATACACAACACTACAACGACAACGGTTTTATATAACCGTTGTCATTGCGCGTTCTTTATTTGTTTAAGACAACGGTTTTATTTAACCGTTGTCTTTGGTATGTTGTCTTTAAGCGTATTTGAATACACAACACTACAAAGACAACGTTTTTTTAACAACCGTTGTCTTTGCGCATCATCATTATTCTATAAAAGACAACAGTTGTATAAAATATAAACAAGGATTTTAACAACAAGAATCAAACCTCTAACCTCAAATATAGCAATTAAGGTTTAACCAACTTAGCAACACAAACTTTTATGTATCAAAGTGCAACATCTTGTATATAACTGGGTTGTTTTTGTGTTGTCTGTGAAAACCAAAACAACGATTTTATAAAATAGGTTAAAAATGCCTGTAAGAAGAATAGAACTTAAGATTTCTAACATAATCTAACATCACAAACTAAGATAAACCCACCAAGCCACACCAACACTTATATACTTAAGCGCAACATCTAAGATATAACGAGTTTGGTTCTGTGTTGTCTATGAGAACCAAGACAATGATTGTATAAAATATAGGTTAAGGATAGAACCCATGACCTCTAACATAACAAATAAAGCTAAACCCACCAAGCCACACCAACTCTTGTTTACTAAAGTGTTACACCTTATCTTTTATCTATAATTTGGACCTTCATTGTTTTTGTTACGAGATGAAAATAGATGTTTAGAAGATCTAGAACAAAAAATAAAATGTAAATAATTTTTTTTGTCCAAATATAGTGCATAAAATTTTAACAAAGAAATAATACAATTCAAAAGTTAATTTAATAGTTCTATTTTCATTCATATTTAAATATAAAATTATTCACCAAAGATTTTATAAATCTATAGTATGGAATTTATGAATCTACAGTATAAAAATCTATGAATCTCGCATTTTGTACCTATATACCCAGTACTATTTTGGGTCTAGTGACCCGGGTAATAAAGCTAATATTTTCTTACCATGTTCTATATCTATATCGCCCGGTTTATGGTGGACCCGGTCCCTATAAAACCATGAATATACCCGGCCTACCGGCACACTAGTCTAGTGGTCTCTAGTCTCTACAGGCACCCTAGTCTAGTGGTTCGATTCCTATGTATTCACACATCACAGAACTATATGTTCATAATTTGATAACTATACAATTTAGAAATGATGAATCAACAATACAGAAATTATGAATCTACAGTTCATATATTATGAATCTGCATACGTGTAGAAATTATGAATCTACTGTATAGACACTATGAATTTAATGTATTTAAATTATGAATCTACAGTTTAGAAATTATGAATCTACAGTAAAAATTTTATGAATCTACAGTATAGAAATTATGAATCTATGCCTATATAAATTCAGAGTTTGTAGTATATAAATTATGAACTATTTTGGACCTAGCACCCCAGGTAATAAAGCTACTATTTTCTTACTTCCCGTTCTGTACCTATATACGCGGTACATCCCGAGCAATAAAACTACTATTTTTTTTACCTCGCGTTCTGTACCTATATACCCGGTACTATTTTGGGTCTAGCGTCCCTGATAATAACGTTAATATATTCTTACCCCGTTCTATACCTATATACTCGGTTTATGGTGGACCTGATCCCTATAAAATCATTGAATATATATAATATACTTATTTAATTTGAAAAAAATGAAAGCTTATTATAAATTAAAATAAAATTTCGTTATTTTTCTAATTATATTAATACATAGTATATAATATGCTATTTCCCTCTTTGCAAAATCAAAATAATTCCTTCAATTATATTATTTTCCTTTGCAAATTTTTAGGCGCGAAATTTCCCTCTTTGCTAAAGTTTCCCGTCAGAACACTTAGGTCTTCTTTGCAAATTTGCCCTCTAAACACCGCCATCTCCACATACATTGCTCGCCTCTAAACACCGCCATCTCCTCAGACATTGTTCGCCGCCAAGTGCTCTCCGCCGACCGTGCTCTCGCCGCCTCCAACCTCCGACGCCGTCGCCGCCTCCATCCTCTGCCGCCATCGCCGCCTCCCTCCTCTGCCGCCGTCGCTCTACTTGAAGATGAAGGGCGATTACCATCGCTATTTGGCTGAGTTTAAGATTGGCAATGAGCGCAAAGAGGCTGTCGAGGACACTATGCTAGCCTATAAAGCTACTCAGGTAAAAAAAACACAAAAACCATATTTATGTTTCTATGCATCTGGATTTAAATTCTCTATATTTTCACTACTTTTCTTGTGTTGTTGAGATCATTAAGATAACGAGAGCTTTGAACTGTAAATTTGCTTCCATCAGTAGTACAATTTTTGGATTAGAAG